CAAGTGAACAAACCCGTAGTATTTCCGATCACTTTATTTTATCTTCTTCATCTCTTTTATTTCTTTTTATTTATATATTTTTTTAGTCTAATTGGAAAAGTATTAGAATTTTTTATAGGTTTATGAATTATGGTGGAGGACAAGATAAATAGGAAACATAATGGAGAAAAACAACAGACAAAAAAGACTATAGCCGGTCACAAAGTTAGGACAAACCCAAGCCGCTCTTTTCGCAAAATGGTTTTCCAAAGTGTTTGCACTTCTAGTTACATGGTTGGAAAACCCCCTAAGTTTTTTAATGTAAGTTTAACCTCCTAAGAGTTAAGGTCCAATGGTTCCACCGTAAGGCGTTTGTGGTGTCCTAGCAAAGACTCTAATTGGTTGACCAATAGATGCTCCAAAGCATGATCTTCTGAAGAGACCCCAACTGAATGCCTTCAACTACATTCTTAGGTTGTTGGATATGATGTATATAGGTTCATTCCTGTATTTAGAATAGTGTAGGCCCTTTTTGGTATTTTAAATATATGTTTATATATATTAGGGTTTACTCATGTAATTTTAAGAAAAAATTAGAGTTATGTTATACATAGTATCAGATCCTTTCACCGTAAACCTGTATTTGCCCGAAATCAACCCATCACCGTTCAAAAACCGTCATCCTGTCGCTGGAACGCATCATTTTTCTGAATCGCTGCCGGTCTGTAACCTCTCAGGAAGGTCACCAATTTTTTATTTATCCATCCCCTAACATCCCACCAGGTCACCGCCGTCTCCTCTCTTCTCCGACCAATGCCACTGCCACCATCTTCTAACACAGGGCAATCCATCCTCTTCTCTGTGTTTGTGTTTTTCTTCTCTCCAACTTGGCTACTATATTCCTCTCATCGATGTCTTCTCTTGGTTTGTTGCATTAATTTGGGGTTGATAGGGCCTCTTCATTCCAAACAATTTTAGTTCTTTCATTAGGATTCTTTCTCCAACTTTTTCAATTGCTACTGAACAATTATTTGATTGGAGGATCTAACTATGGTTCATGGGCTAAGGCTGTTCAGATGTGCTGTATGGGTAATGGTTTGGAAAATCATTTTGTCACTCCTTGCCAAGGCATACAAAGATGCTTGGCTTAAGGCTGATCCCTTGCTATGTAGTTTGCTTTGGCGGTCAATTAATCTTGCATCCTATTTTCACCAATTTTACCAACTGTTATGAACTCTGGACACATACCAAGACTCTATACACCAATGCTATTCAATGTTTGAACAGTGTGGCATCTAATATAGCAAATCTTCTTCAGGAATTTGACAAGTTCAGAATATCTAGGAAAATTTTCATCTATAAAGGTTGAACTCAATTATGTTTTGCCTTTTGGAAAAGCAGCTACTGAGAAGCTTGCTCAACATGATACATTCTTTATGGTGTTTGCTATTGTTGGTCTTGGTCATGATTTGGGCCCAATTTGTGACCAGTTTCTTTCTAGCTCGATGGTTTTGCCTCTTGATGATGTCTATTCTTGCTGAGAATTGTATATTTTTACTATTAAGTTGTACAAAGTAGAATATATATGTATAACACATATGGGCTTCTACTAATCCTATTATTGGGCTAACCTATAAGGCCAACTAACACTCCCCCTGAAGCTGGAGCATATAAATCGTATGTTCCAAGCATGTTACAAATAAACTCAGTTCAAGATCCTCGAAGAGCCTTCGTTAGGATGTCAGCAAGTTCGTCACTGGATGAGACATGATCAGTGACTATACACCCCGATTATACCTTCTCTCGAACAAAATGACAATCAATTTCAATGTGTTTCATCCGCTCATGAAACATTGGATTAGAGGCAATGTGTAGCACAACTTGATTATCACACAACAATTGCATCTTTGAAACTTCACAAAACCTAAGTTCATGGAGATTTGTCTGATCCACATTAGCTCGCAAGTAGCTTCAGTGCTAGACCGAGAAACGGAGTCTTGTTTCTTACTTTTCCACGACACGAGGTTGGTTACCTTCAATAAAGACACAATATCCAGAGGTAGATCATCTATCAGTTGGAGATCCGGCCCAATCAGTATCTGAATAGCCAATAATGTTAGTATTACCATGGTTGGTATACAACAACTCTCTTCCCGGTGAACTTTTACCATATCGAAAAATACGGATAACTGCATCCCAATAAGAGTCACACGCACGGAAACTGAAAAAAATTGACTCACAACACTAACTGCGAACGAGATATCGGGTCTAGTGATCGTCAGGTAATTAAACTTACAACCAATCTTCTATAGCGTCCAGTTTCAATTAGGAGCTCCCCTTGTCCTGGAAGAAGGTTTGAATTGGGATCTATTGGAGAATCCACTAGCTTACAATCAATTATGCCTATAATGATGACATCATCTACATAAATAACCAAGTATATACATTTCCCTTCCAATGCATGTCTGTAAAAGACAGTATGATCTCACTCACTCTGTATCATCCCAAATTCTTGTATGACATGGCCGAAACGCCCAAACCAAGCATGAGGTGATTGTTTTAGGCCATAGAGGAGATCTACGATGCCGACACACAAGAGTGGACTCCCCCTGAGTAACAAACCAGGGAGGTTGCTCCATATAAATCTCCATTTGAAGCTCTCCGTGTAAGAAGACATTTTTAATATCTAATGGGTGCAACATCTACCCACGTGTAGCCGCCATGGGCAGAAATAAGCAAACAAATATCATTTTGGCAATAGGAGACAAGTTCTCGGCATAGTCTAGACCATATACCTGAGTAAACCCTTAGCCACAAGTCTAGCCTTAAGACGATCCACAGAGCCATTAGGACCAACTTTGATAGAATAAACCCAACGGCAAGCAACCGTAGGTTTTTTGAGAGGTAGTGGAACCAAATCCAAAGTTCCATTAGCTTGCAAAGCTCTCTTCTCCTCTACTATAGCCTGACACCATCCTGGATGAGCCAACGCCTCACCTAATGTAGAGGGAAGTGACACAGAATCTAAGGTAGAGACTGTAGCACAATATGAAGGAGACAAACGATGATAACTGAAAAAGTGGTAAACTGGATAAAGATTACGAGTAGAACGATTATTTCGACGTGGAACGGCAGGAACAGGAACATCAAGTGGTACCGAATGTGAGTCAGCAATTGGAGTAGCAGTTAGAGTAGGGGCTGACACAGGAGGTGCAAAAACAGAAATGGGAGCTGTGTGCGGCGACTGTAGACCTGGATAGGCACAGTAGACGAAAATACAAATGAATCCGGGTAAGTCGGACTTCCACTCATAGGCTAGTGCGTCCGACTCTATGACTTTGACTGGTGCAAATTATGAAGAATATCTTTAGTTCCAGGCTTCAAAGCTGTCCTCTACCACCATGTCTATTGCTATGTCTAGTGAGTCCACGTCTATTATTGGTATTTCTCAGTCCTCCTCATCTTTGGGTCCTTGGGTTCTTGACTCTGGTGCGCTTCTGATCATGTGTCTAGTAATCCACTATTATTCTCTATCTTTAAAAAGTCTTATTCTTTACTTTATGTTACATTAGCAAATGGTACTAAAGTGTCTACCCAAGCCATTGGTACAGCTCATCCTTTACTATATTTATCTCTTGATTATGTAGTCTATATTCCTAATTGTCCTTTTAGCCTTATGTCCGTTAGTAAATTAACAAAGTCTCTTAAATCTTTTGTCATATTTAATAGAGATTCTTTTACTATTCAGGACTGCAGTACGGTACAGACTGATACCATGAAAACAGTATAATTTTATTATTTTGATTTCTAAGTTGTACAAAGTAGAATATATATATATATATACAACACGTGTGAGCCTCTACTAATCCTATTAATGGGCTGAACTATAAGCCCAGCTAAATACTAAACACATATAATTAAAGATTATATAACACTTGCCTATATCTGTATTATCAGTTCCCCATTCAATTACTGACTTGGAGACAAGCCCACTCTATTGTCTTCAGCTTCTTCATCAATGTGTGATTCTAGTTCTCATGGAAGTCCTCGGAATAAAAGTACATCTCTTCTGTAATGCACTTATTGCAACGATGGGTGCCATAGCTATGAAAAATATTTTAAATTACATGGATGGCCACTTCGAGCTATTGTTGCACAGGATAAAACTCCTAATTTGTCAAGAATTTCTCATTGAAGTTGGTTTCAAGAGTTCATCTCCTATGGAATTAACATATGATATTCAAGCAGCCATTCATACCGCCTTAATTCCGGCCTTTCACAAACGAACTACACACGTTAAGGTGGATTGCCATTTTATACATGAAAATCTATGAGGTCTCATTAGATCCTGTCTAAAGACTAAGTTCCTTGTTTCTACAAATGTCTTGGCAGGATCACCCATGTAGAACATTAGTGAAAAGCTTGGAGCTTATGATAGGTATGTTCCAGCTTGAGGGGGAGTGCTAAATACTAATTCTAACATTTATAGGTGTTAGGTTTGTGGTTCAGTAGGTGTGTGAGTTACTAAACAATACATTTGTCTCTTCGATTCTCTCTATTGTTTCATTTCTACATAGATTTCATATAAATATCCATGTTACATATTATAAGGAAAAAAGAAAGCTAATACAATATCTTTCTTCTCTTCCTCGTGCATCTTCTTACAAAATCATTAATACTTTCCAGAAAATAAAAATGATAACAAAATAAATTTTTTTTTAAAAAAAAGAACAGTTCCAAGAAGTGCATTTATAATATATATCATGGTCATGGTGATTTTAAGTTTCTTCAAAATGTAATAAAATATTATCCATAATGCAAATCTATGCCCGGAGAAGTGGTAATTGAAGCCCTATTGTGTCACTAAAATTAACTTAAAGATTTAATTTCTACATTGCAGATAAGATTATCACTGATAAAAGAGAAATTTATCCTATATCCATGAGTAAGATATAAAGAAATGAATAAATATAACTCTTCATCAAAAGTAAAATGACATGATCTTTAACTTGTAAACACACCTTCCATGTAAAACACTTTGATCGAGGATTTTGAATCTTTGTATGAACTCCTGAAAAGTTTTTCGAGTGGGATATCCAGCGCAGCTGATTCGGATTGCTTCCATTACTCCCTGGAAATTAACTAGTACAGTTTTAGGTACAGTGAACAGAAGTAATGCCATTGAGAATTAGAAAAAAGTGGCTATAGCATGATAATTACCATTTTTAAGTGATCATAAAAACCAAAAGGAAAAAAATAAAATAAAATAAAATAGCAGACACACAGAGGAATCCTCACCCCACAACGAAGTTGTTGCAGAGCATTCGCATTCTCAAATATAGAAGGCTTCAGAAGATTATTAGGTTTGATACACCGGACATAGTGTGGTTCTGTTGCATTGAGAATCTCAAGCAGCGATTGTAGTTGCATCTGTGTGAAAAGTTAGAAGTGGAGGAATGAAACTGGATAGAAAAACTAATATAGCTTAGAATATTAGAAATGCACAAAATTGATCAACCTTAAATCGACTCCCAATGGAAGAAAATTTTGAGGATTTAGATGATTCCTCAGGTAAAGGTGGGAAAAGTCCAGAAACAAAGGAACATCCTGAAGCACTAAGGAGAGCCTGATGCTCAGCAATAACATAATCTTTGTTCTTATCTAGAAACAAATCTGTCTGGTAAGTGACCTGCAAAGAATGTATCCTACATATAGCTCATATTAAGGCAGTAGGCTTATTCAGCTATATACTTAAATCAATTGAAATTAGTTATTTCATAAAACATATACATACATCACCGGCATAATGGCTAATGGTAAAGCCAGTTCTCGATAACTTTGGTTTGGAAAAACGCTTGTGATCTTTAAATGTCTGGTATAACTTCTCTGAAAATGTCTCATGTGTAGATCTTGGAAACATACTACCGAGAAATAACCAATTCAAGGTTTTAGGAGGATTGTCAAATTAATACAAAATAATAAACTAGATTAGAACAGGCACATACCATGCCTCATCGAGAAGTGCAATAAGACCTCCAGGTTTCTGAGTAAACATCCCATTAAAAATGTGTCAGGAAACATGTTGAAAAGACATTAATATATCAAAGATAAACCTGCAGGGCCTTTAATAGCCTTGAATATTGTATATAACAAATATGAATGAAATAACACATTAAAAATATGAGGACAAAGCTAACTACAATGAAAGAATCGCAGATAGTGTCCTTGCATGACTTACGGAAAAAAGGAATTACATATGCAGTTCTTTCTAAAAACGGCATGTAAGGGGCTTTGTTGTTGGAACATAGAAGATTAAAATAAAATGAATATAAATTATGCATCATCTTATCATATTAAGCTTTTAACTAATGTGAATTACTCCCTCCATCCCACTACAATTGACACAATTTTCATTTTTGTCTGTCCCATAATAATTGACACATTTCTATTTTAGGTAAGATTTACTAAATCAAAACATACTTAACTAGTATAAATCAACTTAATTAACTACATAACATATAATATCATAAATAATTAGGACCCACTCAAAACCCCTTTATTTCTATCTCTCTCCTCAAAAAATAAATGTTTTTATCTATATTTAAAACTCCACTTCTTTTATAAAATTAATTTATGTTAATTATAAAAAAATAAAAGTATTTTTTATTTACTTGTATTATAGAAAATTTTATTCTCTATAAAATGATATCCATATTGCATATATTTTTTTATTGCTACATAATTTTTAAAATATTTAAATATATATTTTAATTTTTTGAATCATATCTATTAAATTTACTTTAAAACTATAAATACTATTAATTACATAAAAAATAATAAATAATAGCATAACTCATTATTATTAACTAATTAAACATTCTTACCTTAAATACCGTGTCCCTAATCAAAGGGTTCAATTATCATGGAACAGAGGGAATATTTCATAGGTAAATTTTTTGGTATAGTGCTATTAACATTTACCATGAATAGGGTAGTTTTGCACCCTAACCACCAATGTTGTTGCATTTACAAATTAATGGAACTAGTGAATAGAAATAAATTTCTTTTGTGTATGTATTACAATTACATGTGTGACTAAGTCTCGACTTATTGTCCTTAGGTTAGGCTAGACTGCTATCTACATTCACCTCACTTTCTAAACACTAATATATATTATAATATAATACAGTTTCTACAATTTTATTCATGAGTTGAAGAATCTACATCATGACATAAAAATCACAAACAAGCAGTACAAGAAAATATATTGTGTCAAAGAATAGGTTTGTTTTATATAGTTAAGAAACTTTATGCTCTTCCTTCTCTTGGTTTCTTCTTCTCACATATGTTTGTTTACATATATTCAACTAATTGTATTGTAAATAATTAGTTCAAGTAAATACAATTTATTTCCTTCTTATTTCGACATGGTACCAAAGCAGCAGGTTCTCTATTCTTCAGTATGCATTGCCAGTTCCTTCTCTTTTGATTAGTTTTATATATTAATTAGTTCCGATTAGTGTTATATGTTAATTAGTGTTATATTTGTTTGTTTGTTTCATCTTCGTCATCTGTTTTCTTCGTCTCTTTGGTTCACCTTTGTTGGTCTATATATTTATGTAGTTTTATTGTAAATAACCAATTCAAATTAATAGAGTTTATTTCCTTCTTGGATGAAGAACCAAAAATGAATAACTTCTTCAAATTTGATTCCTTTTGACATAACTGAGTTTTCAATATAAGTTATTACACTATTATATAGAGGGTTTTGCACATGTGATCTTAGAATAAATTATAATACTCTTGAACTAGAACACACAACTTTCATTATGCTGTTCTTGAATTTCAAGGGCCCCCAGCAAAAGAAACAATTGGACCCTATTTATTTATTTAAGAATATTTAACTATTAATTTAATATCTTTTTTACTATTATACATATATATATATATATAATATTAATACTATATATTTGTATATTGTAAAGAAGAGATCCGGGATTCCAACCTAAAATCGATTGGTGATAAGTGAAGTGGCCCTTCACCCTTATATAGCAGGGGAGTTCCAACATATTTACCAATGTGGAACAATATTCAACGCTCCCCCCTCGAGATGATAATCTCAAAAACCATACAGATCCAAACCCAATACAGACACCATGACACCATAGCTCTGATACCATGTAAAGAAGAGATCCGGACTTCCAACCTAAAAGCAATTGATGATAGGTGGAGTGGCCCTTCACCTAGTAGGGGAATTCCCACATATTTACCAATGTGGGACAATATTCAACGTATATAACTATTTATAAAGAGGGCTCTTAAGAGCTCTTAAAATTTTTGGGCCCTGGGTGCTGGCCAAGGCAGCCCATGCCCGACCCGGCACTGACTTTCACCAAAACTCCCATTCCTAGATAAGAACCTTACGCAAAGACCCAAGGCTCAAACATCAATTATTGAGCAATCAATTAGTTCAACACTTCAAAACAAGTAGTGACAAATCGTAGTAATTAGCTTAATTAGCTGATTAAGTTTCAAATATGGGTAAAAGCCCTTAAAAATATAACATGCATAGTTTAAATATTTTAAAATGATTGCATGAGATTGCATGAGATGGCATAGAGAAAAAATATCATCAAACTAAGAGTAAAATGGCAGAATGCAAACCCTTTCAATAAGATCAAGAATATCTTGATTATCAACGAACTCAATGTAGCTCCAGTCAATTTCTTCTTTAGTATACTCCTCCTGCTCCATCTTAAACACATGCTGCCAAAAAAATCAAGTCGTCAGCTAGGATTCAAGACCAGTTTCTTTAATCTCTTCCAATAATGGTCTTTTAGAGCCTTGTAAGATCATTTGAAAAGACAAGCTATAAGTATTGTGTGCAGACCTGATTAAAATGTTGCTGCAGTTTCTCATTAGTCAAATTTATGCAAAATTGCTCAAAACTGCAAGAGTGTAAACAATAGGAAAATTAAGCATCACAAAGATCGACCCTTAAAATTCAGCATGAAAGAAATTAAATAGTATAGGAAAGAGAACTACCAAACAAATTCTATCTCATACATATTCGTGCATGGTATACGGATATCATATACTCCCTCCATCATCAAAATCTGTGCTCATTCCTTTAGTATTTTACAAAGGGAATGAGCACAAATTTAGATGACAGAGGTAGTATCATAAAACAAGAAGCCAACATACTAAAAAGATAAGGATTCTATTTTGAGCAGCTTTCAGTAGGATATTAATTTCCATATTGTTGAGACTTAAGCATACCGGTTAAGCACCTGTTTGTCTTGAAACTCTCAAAACCATAGATATCCAGAACACCAATTATGTATTTTGAATTTGGATCTTGGCTGATAGAATCATTAATCTTGTTAACAAGCCTAACAAGAAAAGCCGCTATTAGTTAGTAAAGCTTATGCAGCAATCAAAATTATTACAGATGGCACATGTATATTTTACAAACCAATCAAATAATCTTGAATAGACAATTTTAGCCAAAGCATCTCTACTGAGTGCTGCATCATCTGGATTGAGGCTTTTTGTTATGGTCTCATCACGAGTAACCATGACACGCTTGCACAAGGAGTCTTCAAGAGCTTTCTCGTCACACCTGAATAAATTCCACATATCATATAAGAAATCTTGGCATGTGAGCTTGAAATGCAAATATAAGAGAGAAAAAAAAAAAAGAACTTACTTTAAAAGTTCAGCAGTTGTTTTCAGATGGAGTTTAGACTTATCATCCTTAGGTTTTGAAGCATCACCATCGCTTACCTTACCAAACTCAATATTACCCAAGTGAAGAACTGCCGCCACAACCCGAAAAATTGCATCCTATCAATGGAAATATTATCTATTATTATCTATTATTATTATTATTTGAAAATCTCTTTAAAATCATATCAAGATTTGAAATTTATACCTGCTCGTCAGAACTCATCCCAACTATATCCATGGCCCTCCTTGTATCAAGATATTCTTGGGAATTATCAACTCCATTCAATTCATAACAATTTGACTGATTCAAATAATGAAACTCTCTTGGATTCCCCACTTTGTATTTTTCACGATCCTGCTAGACAATGCGATAAAGCAACATTAGAGACTCAAGAAAAGAGATAATTATAACTAAGATAAACATTTCAGCTAAAATATTGAATTTCATGCATCAAAAAGCATTCAAAAGAGAGGAGATCAAGAGATGGTGTCGTTCCTCTATCATATGAACCAAAGCATATTAAATTCTTTTTGTGCGTATATTACTACCCAGGAGGTGATTATCGAGAGAAACATATTAACTGCGTTGTGAAGAATGGAACCTGAACTACTCTATATCAAAAGGTGGGTTTTTACCACTAAGGTCACATTAAAATGAAGTGAGTTATATATGTTCGGATGCATTAAATGTTGCAGTATTGTTCTTGATTTTCCTTCAAACTATGGAATGAAATCCAGTCGATCAAGGAAAAAATAAAGAACACCATTTAGTTTAATAGTATCACTCTGGTGAAGATGGTTTGATGAAATCCAAAATTATGCTATAGAATTACTGTTTAATAACCAAAATGCTTCTGAAAACTTGACAGAAATAAGTGGCAGCAAGGTAAACATCTAGAAAACAGCTTGAAAGAAGTGGCAGCAAGGTAAACATCAAGAAAACAGTTTGAAATAAGTGGGCAGCAAGGTAAACATCAAGAAAACAGTTTGAAATAAGTGGCAGCAAGGTAAACATCAAGAAAACAGCTAGCTCTCATCATTTAATTCAGAAATGTTTTACAGAAGTCTTTCCCACCAGAAGTAACACATTACCTCAGGTGGTGCAGCACAAAGCATATAAAAGCAGTGATAGTTTCTTTCGGGATCAGACACTTGGCAAACACGTGATCTTTCCAGCAAATAGGTTCGGATTGCAGCACCAGAAATCCTACCACTATTGTTGAACTGAATCTCTACAAATTTGCCAAAGCGGCTGCATCAAAGGCAAGTTCAATTTTTAAGAAAAACTTCAATTACAAGAAAGACAAAATGGTATTTTAGGTCAAGAATTAACTAACCTTGAGTTGTTATTTCTAACTGTCTTGGCATTACCAAATCCTTCCAGAACAGGACTTGACTGTTCAATATCATAGGAGTAAATGATGAAAAATTATGATCAAAATAAATTTATAAGAAAGTGCTACCTTTCCTGGTTGAGCATACAGAGGGCAATGATTTTCAACATTATTTTGTTATATTTGAAATGAAATGAAATAATAAAATAATCACTTATTCAAAACGCTAACCTCAAGTACTTTCTCCTGCACACTCCGCCCCCCATCCCCGGCGCCAGCTCCCATATATGCAAGATAACACATGAGCATTTTAGTGCTTTCAGTTTTACCAGCTCCACTCTCCCCACTTACCAAAATTGACTGGCTTATACCATCATTAACCATTCTCCTGCAATAGCATTCAGAAGGACACTTGTTGAAAACTGAAAATAATGAACATTTATTCAAAGCAACTACTTGAGAGATCTTTGATGGCTAAGGATTGCCTGTAAGCAGAATCAGCAATAGCAAAAGGGTGTGGGCTCAGTTCTCCAAGTTGCATTCCTTTGTACTTTTGCATTGTTTCTCCACTGTATAGATGGGGCAGCCGTTGAAAGGGGTTCACTGCTATCAATATGTTACCGGTGTAGGTCTACATAAACCAACTTTATCTTAGCTTCATGGTACAGTATGCTAAAAATGGAACATTGTGATTGCAAGAATAGAACTTTCTATTCATGTCTAGAAATGAAGAATACAAGCTTATAAAAGGGAAAAAGGCATGTCAAGATCTTTTGCCCTCATCTTGTGTTAAGGAAATTTCCAAGAGAGTGCAAGAGAGAACTAATGGAAGGATGTAGAAAGATTACACTGAAGAACAGTCTCAACAAAGGCAAAACAAAAATAGTTTTCTAAAATCATATAAAATGCTATTCAAAGATATAGATGGTAGTGAGGTTGAGTCACAGATGCAAAGTGGCATCCATGATATTGAAACATTTAGAAATATAACCATTATACATCACTCACATATATTTCATTTGCAAAATATCTGCTTTTCAAATTCTGCAGGACACCTGGTTCATGTAGGTATGCAAGCTTTGTCATATCATCCACACCATTGGGCAGATCCTCTGGGTCTTTTGGGTATGTATCTGATGCATTAGCCGCAACCTACAAAATAAAGTTGAGAATCAAAATAAGACCCTTAGTGTTAAATATGGGTCCTGAGCAACAAAAGAAACACAGAAGACCAGAATCCTGTAGTGGATAAAGAATCGGTTCAACTTGTAAAATACGCAACTCGAGCTCTAGTAGTCCCAGCTCATGCAACTGGAATTTCTTTCAAGTCAAGACCGAGTGTCAAAGCTTTGTACTCAAGTTATATATATACATAATTATTATTGATTACTATAAATTAATTCAATATATAGTAATGTATATATATATTTAATATGAAAGATGTTCATAGTTAAAATATATGAGCTCGAAGACTTAATTTTTTTCAAGTTTTTTAACTGTGAAGCTTACGCAGCATGAATATGATCAGAAGATTTTTAATTCAAACTAGAACATAAGCTTAAGTGAGCCTAAGCTCAAGTTTGAAAGAACTTGCTTGAATCAAAATTGAATTTGCTTAAGCTTGACTTGATGTCACTCCTTTACAGGGCCATCATTGGAAATATGAAATTATCAGTTTATGAAAGAAAGTTGAAGGCTAAGAGAGGTGCTACAAAATAACAATGCATTCAGTGGAGACACTAACGCCAAAATTATGAAAAAGAGCAAAATGTGAGACTGTTTGAAACTGCAACCAACGCCACTATACACAGAATATGCAAGTACAATTAGCATAACTAACTTAGGTCTGATGTTCAAGAAAGGAGTTTCATTTTTAGTAAAAAGGAATTGAACCTCTTATAGTTCATTCATTTCTCTCTTGATTTTCTGGCAAACTTCTTGGGGCAAAACATGAGTTGGGAATTCTCTGGCCATCTGGAATAGGTACATATTGGGTTCTTACATTAGATACTAGTCATTCTATTTTCCAATGTAATTGAATAACATAAAAATGAAAAAGCTTTGAATACAAGACACCTCAACTTTGCAGACCTGTGCAATAGAACAGGGTTACTGGTTGAGACAAAAGGACATGTGAACTATAGCTTGCACATATTTTGGGTTATTCTTTGAGCATATTTAATATAAAGTTAGCCCTTAGTCAGAATGAAATCAACCAACTATAACAATACATGAAAAGGTTCAAGACAAAATAAAGAGAAATGCATGCAAGAAACAATGTTCACTGTCTGAGTCAATCATAGCAGCATCTTTGTAATTACAGATTCAAGAGTGGAATCAGCATAGGTATACTTACTGTCTTTCCAGAAGAACATTTTACTTTAATCTCATCACCATTAACTTTCAAAACTTCCCCATCTATCCAAGCTTCCTCAGGATCTGCCACCCATACCTGAGATCCAACTGCTATATTGGATGAACCACTCTGCATATTTAGTGAAGTTCTTATATATTAAAGTGATAATAGAAAATAATCAAATAATCTGGAGATCATTATTATGTTATGAAATGCGGAGAAAACATTAATTACATTAATACATAAAAGCATGAGACAAATTGCTTATACAATGTACAAAGGGCATGCGAAAAAGTGCTAGTGTTATCTAATTTTTATTATATGGTAAAGAGATTATACAAACATGGGTTTACACAATAAAAGAACCAGCAATAGCATACGGAAAATTAATGGAAATAAAACCACAACAAAGTTCATGTATTCTGGACTAGAACTGGATCATTCTTGGAATCTTTGGATTGTGGAAGAGGTGAGATAAAACCCTTTTGAAATTGTTTCAGCTTAAAGGTAGAAAGAATTATACAGAGAGATCATGTATTTGGGACCATAGGTAAGTGGCTTATACACACAATTAGTGCTTGATAGTGGATGCAGCCCAAAGTTTTGTTGTTAAGAACATAATTCTACACCAAAGTGATAAGGATAATGATCTTGCTCGTAAATCTAGATAACTGTTTCCTGTAGTTACTGGATTTTTGGAAATGGATTAGATCCTTCATATATTAAGAAGAGTATTAAAAACAAGGAAACAGATAGATTCCACACATTATATATAACATGATGGGCAAATGCATGCAGAGACAATGGCAGTTGCTTTCTCTATATTGGAATAAGTGACACTTTGGCTCACAAGATTTGGATTGGCTCACAGGAAAGCAACTTTGGTTGCTCAATTGAGGTTGATTGCAATTTTTTATTCTGGTCATCAATCTCAAAACTCCTCAAGTTAGTCTTTGCCCGTATCTTTCTTGGCTGGCTCTAAAATAGGCTCTATCCAAGAATTTGGTACGGGGAGGTCAAGTCATGGGTTTGGAATATAGAGCTCTGTCGTACCTTGTTTGATTGGGAGAGTGATATTTGGGTGTTTTTTGTGAATGTGATCCACTCTGCTTTTGTTCTGGCTGATAGCCAAGATAAATTGAATGGTAAGCTTAATCCCAACAGTTCCTTCAGCTGCTGGTCATGTCGGTAGCTCTCAGACTCATACCCGTCATACATGTGGTCTCTTGATCCTATTATCTGGACAAAGAATGCTCTTTATCATGTCCATACCTTTATTTAGTAGCTTTGAAGAGGTGACCTCCCAGTTGGAGATTTTCTTGCATCCCCGGGATGCTTGGTTTATGACAATCAGTGTCCCATTTGTGGCTTACATTGAGACAGTTTCCCACTTATTCCTCTGTTTGTGGAACATTTCTTGAGTTTGTCTTTCTTCCTACCTCAATGTAATCCTCCTGTGCCATTCTCTATCCAACAAATTCACAAACATTTAAAATTGGAAAAGAGTTTAAAGGCTGCTGTTTGGGAAATTTGATAAACTTGTGATGGGGTAATTTTTAATGAGGATCTCTTGCCGAAGTGGGTTATTTTCAAGAGTCTCTTATTGATTGGTGACTGGTAGCACATATCCCACACTGCATCACATTCCTCAAAACATTAATGAACAATCTTCAAGACATATCTTTAATACAGAAAAAAAAAAAAAAAAAAACAAAGTCTATCACTGGTTCTCCCCTGCCCGAGGTTGGTGGGAAAATCAACTCATATGGTCCAGCATTTAGTCAACCGTGCCTAGCTGTTATTGGAGACGTTCACCCAAGACTATTTGGGACACATCATCTTTTCAAAACATATGGGATAGCATACTCTAAGTTACTGGCCATCTCCCACGTCCTCGAACATGTGGCCCTTGGTCAGCTCGGGCTGTTGCCCCAGATTTATGTTGAGTATGGCTCTAAAATTCTTTTGGAATGATTCCCAACGCTACCTGGAAGCTTAATTCATGCATCAATAAGCTCCCTCTCTACATCTCTTGATGTCGTTGCATTACTTTTTACCATATCTCTTGCTCTACATTGAATTGCCTGGCTTCTTTGCAAACCGTGGAGCTAGAGGGTCTGACAATCTTGAAGTTTAGCTATAATCACAGTTTTTCCACGTTCTTTGCTCACATATTATAGGTGCATTCTTGCATTAGTTCTCATTGTCGTAGTTCTTAATGCTCTATTAAGTTTTCCCCCAATCTCTCTATCTTCTGATTGTAATCCAACCCATCTCGTTCATTATAAGACTTTGAAGAGAACAATCTGAAGTTATCTCATGAATAACTGTTCTCCAGTTACTTGACAGTAAGGCATTCATCTTCACATTGGTGTGTTTGTTTGAAGGATTTTGCAAAAACTACACTATTAATCCAAATATTTCCCCTCGAAAACATCAAATCAAACACATAATTTTCATTTTCTATATTACTCAAAAAACAATTTTACATTCAAAATATCACATCAACACCTATTTATATCATATCATACAATTATTCCAATTCAAAATTTTTACTATTCAAATCCCAACTTAAAATCCAAACCTTCAAACAAACACACCCTAACAAAAAAGTGCATACTATAAATTGAAGAATGAATTATGTGAAATATCACATAGTGATCACAGATAATCCCTGATTGTGAACGTATCAAACATCACGCCCATGAAATTTATTCAATTGTGAATCAACTAAATCAAAGGCCTAAGTTATCTGTGTACAGTTTACGCGACTAATCTGTGCATACAATATGTGGCAACCAGTGCTTTTTATCCCTAAGGAGGTCGGCATCCGCTAGCATCTATCATATAACTAGCAACAAACTAAAGTTATCATAAGCCTCATCAGAGGCCAGAATATGAATTAGGAAATTAGACCACATTCCCTCCCAATCCAGGGCTTCTCATCAATGCTCCCCACCCCCAGCTAATGCATTTCTATTTCATGATTAAGTTCCACAGAATAAGTGTACTAGAACTTACCACTGCGGCATCCCTAAACTCTACCCAATACACAGAAATTGGCCAAACTAAACAAAAAGGGATTACCAAAGCAACAGCTCAACAGGCTCGTTAAAAAGTAAAGGCATACCATTTCCAACTTCCAAAGCAGTCAGACCCCAAGAAATTATTCCTTCAAATGCCTAATGCGAGAAAACCATCAAAAACGCATTCAATCGAACCACATTGTAATAAGAAGAGAGGTCCCGCGAACAAAACTGCAACCCGCAAGAAATAGCTAGATTCCTATTTATGTTCCAAATCACATTCCTTTATCCCCACCCCCATCACTCTTCGCTATCAATGTTTTCCGCCGTGCGTTGACAGGAAATGACGTCAGGAAAACGTGAATTACACAGGCAACATCGCATAGGACGATCCCAATTTCAATCCAACTGTTTCTTTTTTCTTTCCCGTGACGTGGATGCGTATACGTAAACCAGCAATGTTGAATCGCATGCAGATCAACAGAGGGAGGAGGGACCGAAAGGAAAGCAAATCGAAATATTCACTCCCTGGCTACGGTAATTTCCTCAGTGATTGTCTCTCCCTTTCTTATCCACAAGAGTCCTTGCGATCGATTTCCTAATTCGTTTCTCTTTCAGCATTAAAAGAATAGATTGAAGAGCAAGATCAAGCTACGTAAAAGATATATGTGATTTGCTTTGCGAAGAATGCCCTTCAAATCTCGTCTATTCACGTATTCCATGATTTAAACGTATATTCTAGTAACAATTAAAATGTGTAATCAGAAAATTAGGCTTGTTTGTTCACATATTATTTTAAAATTTAGGTAATATTATTAATATTTTTTTTTTTTATAAAAATTCTATTATATTAAATAATTATTTTTTTTCTTACAAAAATGACATCAAATTTTTTATTACCTTTTACAATTTTCAAAACTTCCAAACATCGTATATTAATTAATTAATTACCATGAATAATTAATGTAAAAGCATAACACATAAAACTTCATATTTAACGCTATTGATTCTCATCTATGTTATACTCCCCTCCGTGCCGCGTATCATGTCTAAGTACGTTTATCTCAATAACATATTCCATGTCCTTTTCTTTTTTTTTTTAAAATGATTACACACTTTAATCTTATTTTAAACTTTTTAATTTATTTTTTTAATTTTAATTAAAATAATTAGTTATCTTAATCTTAATTTATAATTATTTATATTATAAGAATAATTATTTTCAGTAATACATTCTTAATTATCTACTCATTACACGAGAACGAAGTGAGTATTAATTTTCATTATTATCTCTATAATTACTTTATCAAGTTTTACTGTAGTAAGACTTATTGCTTTTATTAATAAATATAATTATCAAATATATACTTCCTCTGTCATACTTAAATTGTCCACTTTAAGTTACATATGAAGTCTAAGGTATCTACTAATTAATAAATAATTAAAAAGTGTATTAATAAAAATAATTATGATTTAATAAAAATAATTATAAATTAAAATTAAAAAATAATTTAATTTTAATAAAAAAATTATAAATTATGAATTTTAAAATGTAATTAAAAGTGCATAGTTATATTTCTAAAGAATAAAATGAGAAATTATGTTGAGTAGAAATAAAAAGAATTAATAAATAAAGTGGGATATAAAAAATATTATACTATTATCTAAGTGTCTCTAATAATAATAATAATAATAATAATAATAACTAATTAATTAATCATTATTCCAATTTTAAATTTTAAATTTAATAATGATTATTTATACAAATACAATTCAAATTTATTTGAAAATATCAAGTATATATGCATTTTTTAATTATATTTGTCTAATTTTTATATTCAATTTCAATAATTAAATTTTTCTAAATTCTTATATTTAATTTTTAAAAAATGACCAGTAAAACATAATCTCTTCAACCAGTTCTTTAACCAAACTATCACAAATGAGTATTATTTGGATTTGCATCAATTCAAGTTTATCTTAATAATTTAAATTTAAAATGTTATTGATCCCATAAATTTGAATAATTTCAATATTTTAAAGTAATAATAAAAATTATATAATATTATGATAGTTTATATAAAATAATATCTTTAATTTAAAATATAATATTATATAAATATATTTTTTATATATTATTAGACCATAAATCTCTTAAAATCAGCAAATTGTTATAGATTTTATAAAACAGTAAAGATAACGAGTTTAATATGATAATATTACAACAAATTGTAAAAAAATAATTTGAATATTGGTGTGCATATAATATTGATGAAAGAGATAATAATAATAATAATAATAATAATAATAATAATAATAATAATAATAATAATAGTAGGTTAAGCTACCTCATAATTACAAATGTCTTGAATCGAAACCTTGGCCGAGTAAGTGCCGAATCAAAGAGACTAGCAGAAATTTCTCAGAATATTTCAAAATTTCGTGGAATGTTCCTAAATATTCCAAGAATACCGAGATCACCTCTTAACCGAATCTATGTTTATCCAATAGACTTTGTATATCGTTATATTTTGTAGAATCTATCCGAGTGTAAATATACTTTGGCCTGTATTATGTCTGGTCCGTTAAAATGTCTATATATAGGGAGCACCCCTCATTTGTAACACACTGTAATATCTGATCCATAATCGAGTTGACCCATTAAATGTTATGTTAAATTAAATATCATAAAGTTGTTATTGTAAATACGTCAACTTCAAACGACTATAGATTTATGAATTCATATATGATGTTTATGAAATTTATATCATTGGGTAAGTTTTAAGTTACCTTTCCAATTCCGCAAACGGTGAGTCAATCCGAGGCCAAACAAAAGAGTTATAGTCAAAATAGTAGTCAAAGATCTGTTGTATAGTCAATGCGTTTTTAAAAATGCCAATACGACTTTGAATCGACTTTTAAATATAAAATCTTACTTTCTCCATCATATTTAACCTTTATTTCATCCTCCAAACACTCCTAGTAAACCCTAGTAGCCACCCCTTCTCTCCCAATCAAGTTTGAAGTGATTTTGAAGTAAATTTTCATACTTTCTTTTTCTTTATTTTTGAAATTCGATTTCATAACATTTGTGCATAATATTTTAAGTTATTTTGTTTATTTAAACCACGAACTTACTTTTTTTAAATAATATTTATATTTTTCATGATTTTATATTCATTTTGACATATTGCATGAGTTACTTGAAATACAAATGAATTTTATATTATTTTCTAAAGTTATACACTTATTTTTTTGATGAAAACATTATAGAGTATTCGATGAATTTTTTATAACTTTTGGATGCTTTTTTCACAAATTGTTTTTATATGAAATTTATATTTTTTTATCGTTAATTAGAGACTAAATTTGTTTCATTTTGGTGTAAAATGAATTTTATATAAATTTTTAAAGTTACACACCCTGTTTTTTTTTTTTTTTTTTTATGGATAGTTTGTTTGGTATATTTAACTATTATTTTGTTCTTTCTGAAGCTTAATTTTGTATTTATTTTTAAAATTTAAAATATAGATATATGTGTTAACTTTAAGTAGAAATCAAGTTTTTCCCATTTGAGTGTAAAGTGGATTTTTGGTAAATTTTACAATAAAACTTCTCTATTTCTCTGAATTGAACGCACTATTTGAGTTAAGATGATATTTTGGATATAATTCAAATTAATAATTGAACTTTTGGTCTTTGAAATAAAATTTAGAAATGTAACCTTTGATTTAGCACTAGTTTCATAATATTTGGGCTAACGATGAATATATGGTGACTTTTATAAGATCTATATAAAATTTGAGTAAGTTTGTTGATCGTGTTTGGTGATTAGGTAAAGTCTGATCGAATCAAGTCCTATTAGTCAATGGTAGTTGAGTTGGTTAGCTTCCTATAAATAAAGTAAGGGGTTAAATTATACACGCTTGAAATGAATGGACCGTTATAGTTATATCTTCGTATATGATATGTTGTGAACTTATTGTGATATGAGATTAAGAAATGATAATTTGTGTATGCCGTGAAGTTGGCTAGTTAGTCGTTTATTAACTAACAAGTTGATTGGTAAATTATATAAGTTGTGGAATTGTCTAGATTTAGCCGTTGATTGACAAGTTGATTGATAAATTGTGTAAACCGTAGATTTGGCTAGACTTAGCCATTGATTGGCAAGTCAGTTGATAAATTGTATAAGCCGTGGATTTGGCTAGACTTAGCCGTTCATTGGCAAGTCAATTGTAAATTGTATAAGCCGTGGATTTGACTAGACTTAGCTGTTGATTGACAAGTCGATTGGTAAATTGTATAAGCCGTGGATTTGGCTAGACTTAGCTGTTTATTGGAAAGTCGATTGATAAATTGTATAAGTCGTGGATTTGCCTAGACTTAGCCATTTATTGACAAGTCGATTGTCAATTGTATTAGCTATGGATTTGGCTACACTTAACCATTGATAGACAAGTCGATTGATAAATTGTATAAGCCTGGATTTGGCTGGACTTATTCGTTGATTGAAAAATCGATAGGTAAATTGTGTAAGCCATGGATTTAGCTAGATTTAGCCGTTGATTGGCAAGTCGATCGGAAAATTGTTCAAGATGTTGATTTGGCTAGACTTAGCCGTTGATTAACAAGTCGATTGATAAGTTGTATAAGCTGTGGATTTGGCTAGAATTAACCGTTGATTGACAAGTCAATTGTAAATTGTATAAGCCATGGATTTGGCTAGACTTAGCCGTTGGTTGGCAAGTCGGTTGGTAAATTGAATAAGCCGTGGATTTGGCTAGACTTAGCCGTTGGTTGGCAAGTCGGTTGGTAAATTGTATAAGCCATGGATTTGGCTAGACTTAGCCATTGATTGACATGTCGAGATAAATTGTGTAAGCCATGGATTTGGCTAGACTTAGCCGTTGATTGACAAGTCGATTGATAAATTGTACAAACCGTGAATTTGGCTAAACTTAGCCGTTGATTGGCAAGTCAATTGGTAAATTGTGTAAATTTGAATAGACTTAACCGTTGATTGACAAGTCAATTGATAAATTGTGATAGCCATGGATTTAGGTAGATTTAGCTATTTTGGCAAGTCAATTAATAATTGTGTGAGTCATTGATTTGACTACACTTATAAGCGGTTACTTGGCAAGTTGGTTGATCAATTGAATGAGCCGTGGATTTTGAATAATTGTAGTTGTTGCTTGGCTATCACTTACTGTTGGTAACTTATTTCATGGATTGTATATTTAATTTTTTACTCAGCTCTCGCTGATATTACTATTTTCTTCCATG